TCACCTTTGTGAAACTGGCCATACCCTACAGCATATATGTTCAACGCAATACAAAGGTGAAGCGGACATGATTCCTTGTCCTTAAGGAACACATGACAATAACCATCACAACCCAGTGTATTTTATTAACTACATGACAGGGAGTAGACTAAGTACTTTTACTTATTACTTTACTCAGTCCTCACAAACACCCAATAATGGAGTTGCTACCAGTATATCCATTTTACAGATAAATAAATCTGTTTTTTATTTATCTCAGAGGAATTAAGAGGAATTAAGTGACTTGCCTAAGATTACACAACTAGGAAAATCCAGATACTGGTAGAGCCATCATCTCTTGTAAAAGAGATCAAGCACTTAATGACTCAGTACAAAACAATGTACATTGAATTCCTATCATGCAAGCTATTGTGTTATGTACTGTATAAGAGAGAGAAAAACTAAGCAAAGAAAAAAACCTGTTTATTTAGTATTTCTATTATATTCTTTTTTTATTAGTCTTCTTTGATTGGTGATGATTTTGTGTTTAAAGACTGTTTCCTTAACTAGAAAATGTCTGCAAAGTATTTACAATACTGAGTGGAAATTAAACAAATACACAGATAATTCTAATACAAGACATAGAGAAGTTCCAGGAGAGAGATTTATAAACACAGTTCTAGATCCCATCTGGGATTGGGAAGTGAGAGTGGAAAGCAGGGGGTGGGGGTGGGGTGGAGGGTCAGAGTCAGGGTTAATGGGGGAAAGTGAGGGCCATCTGGCAGAGTTTAACATCTGCGGTGACAAAGTGACTATGGTGAAAGAAGACTGTCTCAGACAGAGGAAATAAGAGAGAAAAGCGAGGTATCTTTCATGCAACAGGAAGTCCAGCTTGACTGAAACTTAAGTGCCCAGATGTGAAAAGTGGTAAATTTGTCTGAAAGGTGGGGTGGGGACCTGACTGTCAGGGACCTAAACCACAAATGGAAGACTCTAGACCTTATTCAGGGAAGGAAGGAGTGCCCTAAAAGATTTTGACTTAGAAAATCACAACATTGAAATGTTGCCTTAAAAAAACCTTAATATGTGTGCAACATATAATGGAGAGATGCAAAGAATAAGATGAAGAGAAAAACATAGCAGTGGGAGTAGAAAAGCAGGAAGGATACAGTGACACAGTGGAAGTAGTGACAGCAAGGCTTGGATGGGATTCTCTCTCATAATTTCCCACAGTGCTCCCTGACCAGCCTGGGCCTGACCCATGACTACACGTAATTACCTATATTTATCATTTTTGTTTCTTCCTTTGATCTCTGGCTTATGGCAATGAGTGTAATTTTAAAGCTCCCTCATTGGAAGTTCATAGACTGGAATGGGACTGCAATACCATTTATATAACTATAGAAGCTATAGTATACATTATAATTTTAAGCATACAGGAGTTTAAGAACTATTAAATTGTTAATTATTGTTAAACCGAATGAGAACTGCTGCACTCCCAATATGATTGTTCAGATCAACAGATACGTGTTTTGGCCTATCTGATATCCGTCACAGCAAAAGGTGTCCCAGGCGTGTGGTGGAAGTCATATGGGGGCATGGAGTTGTTTCAGATCATAAAATCTCTTTGCAAGAATAGGCCTAAGCATCCCCTCAGAATAGCTTGTAGCCTTTCAAGCGTGTATTGAAGCTTTAAAAATGCATTTAAAATTATTTTTCTGTTTTTCAGGAATTAAATGCTTAACAAGGTTCAAGGCTAATGAACAATTTTAAGTCCCGGTGTTCGAATTGCCTAAGCCAATGGGGCTAGGACTCCAGACATTACTGTGTCCTCTCCATACCCTCAGAGCTTACAGGGAAAGGGGAACAAATTAAAGAATGTGCCACCTTGAAATGTACACAATACCCTGTTTTCCAGGCTGATGCATTCTCCAAGCTAGTTTCTAGCTACAAGAGGGAAGAACAGGAGAAAAAAAAGCAAAAAAACTGCAAGAACTTGCCAAAACTAATGACATCTTGTGATTCCACAGCTGAAGTTCCGGGATCACGGAGGGAGAAGGAAAGTTTCTTGTTCAAAGTTCCAGTTTCATGTGTCTGAGAATAAGTGATTAATTGACCCTGATGTCTCAATGTCAGAGCTCCCAGGGGGAACCATGGCTTTGCAATGTCAAAAAGATGGAAGGAAGAGAAAAATAAAAAAGCAAACAAAAATAGTTCTTTTAGGATTGTTTAACCCCTTTTCCTTTTTAAAGATCTGGAAGGGAGGGAAAAATACGTAACTTGAACTTTCAAAGAAAAGTTGAGAAAATAAAAACATCTCTAGTTTGGATGGTAAAAAGGTCTGAGGCGTTTGCCCTCCTTCCCACATTTCTGGGCATTCCCTTAATGTTCTCAAGACCTCACTGTAGAAGAAACAGCACATTCTTTCTACAGACACCCTGTTTTACTAGGAGATGGTCCCAGAGACCAGGGTCATTAAACGTCTACAGTAAGAAGCATTTCCATGAGCATGATCATGCATTTTTAAAGGTATATCTCAAAGTATTTCTTGCTTGGTTTACAAACAGCTTGAAGCCATAAAAGAGGGAAAGTTCAATAAAGGCAAGTTTGGAAGAGTCATCTTGGCAGAAAGGCAAGATAAAGAATTTTCATGACTCTGGCTCACTCAATTTTCCTCCTGGTCTTACACATGTAGAACACGTGATAAAACAAAAACCTCGTCAGAGGGCAGATGAACTAAAGGATTCCCAGTGAAATTTAAATTATTTTTTAGAGCTTCGCTTATCCTAATGGGCAGATTTTGGTGAATAAGAACAAGAAGAAAACAAAAGCTTCGTTACTGTAGTTAAACATGGGACCTGAAGAATTACAGTCAACTGCACAGCAATGATTCTCAGGAAGCCAGATTCTGTCCCGCATCCTTCAGCTGTGTTATCTTGCCTAATGATATCACCTGGGGATACTTTTATTCCCGCTGTTTATCTTTAGACCATCTGACAACCCCTTTTTTCTTTCTGAAGAAATAATACTGTTTTTCAAAGGTTCAACCATGATTAAGCACCTGGCAACATGGCAAAGTTTAGACATGAATTAAAAGGATCGGGCTAGCAGTTACAATATTTAGTGCCTCATTAGTTGAAAGGAGCAAATGTTCCACAAAGGTAATCTATCAAATACTACAAACTTTTTTCTTAGACTAGATTTATATATAATCAATGCACCTGGAGATGTGCCTAGCATTTTCATTTTGTGTTAAAAGTAGGGAATTGTTAGTATCGTGGTATTAGAATGGATTCAATGCCCATTGGTACAAAAAGGGCAAAGTGATCATCAAAAAAATGACTACCTCCACAGAGATGAAAGCAAATATTGGTAGGTATACAGCTCATGCCTTTCAGATTCGGCCTCAGTAAAGGCATTCCTTGGCTTCCATTTAAAACGGAACGGTTGCTATTTCTCTCATGCTCGTATGTAAGAAGTTCTCTTGCACAATACCACAGAATGTTACTAAGTGGTGAGGCTACAGATCCTTTGTGACCCAAATCAAAGAGCTACAGATTAATCTGACATGGTTTATTCTTATCCAAAGAACAAAAAACAATCAGTACACTTTTTATTTTCAGTTCCACTACCTCATGTTTCCAAGTGTTTGCTATTTCAGCAGCATTTTTTATACCTTGCAAAACATTTCTCAACCTGCTGTGATTGTTAACTTAGAGCTCAGACCACTGAAATAGGAAAAACAAACAAAGAAAAAAGAACTGATAAAACCAAAGCCCCATGTTCTCACTGCAGACTGTATCTTATGGGAAAGGCTATCAAAACTGTTAATATTTCAAACCCATGCCTATATGGTCATTTAATCTTTGACAAAGGAGGCAAGAATATACAATGGGGGTAAAGACAGCCTATTCAATAAATAATGTTGGGAAAATTGGATAGATCCATGCAAGAAAAGGAAACTGGACCACTCTCTTACACCACATACAAGAATAAACTCAAAATGGATTAAAGACCTAAATATAAGACCCAAAACCATAAAACTCCTATAATAAAAGAAAACATAGGCAGTGAACTTTCTGACATTGTTTTCTGATCTCTCTCTTCAGGCAAAGGAAACAAAAGAAAACAATAAACAAATGACACTACATCAAACTAAAAAGTTTTTGCATAGCAAAGGAAACCATCAACAAAATGAAAAGAATGGGAGAAGATATTCATGAATGATATATCTGATGAGGGGTTAATATCCAAAATTTATAAAGAACTCATACAACTTAACAACAAAACTAAACAAAACAAACAAAAAAACCCCACAAACAATCCAATTAAAAAATGGGCAGAGGACTTGAACATTTTTCCAAAGAGGACATACAGATGGCAATAGTCATATGAAAAGATGCTCAATGCCACTAATCATCAGAGAAATGCAAATTAAAACCACAATGAGATATCACCTCACACCTGTCAGAATGCCTATCATCAATACATCAACAAACAACAGGTGTGGAGAAAGGGAACCCTTGTGCACTGTTGGTGGGATTACAAATTGGTGCAGCCAGTATGGAAATCAGTATGGAGGTTCCTCAAAAATTAAAAATAGAACTACTTTATGATCCAGTGATTCCACTCCTGGGTATTTACCTGAAGAAATCCAAAACACCAATTCAAAAAGATATATGCATCCCTATGTTCATCGCAGCATTATTTAAGATAGCCAATATATGGAAACAGCCTAAGTGTCCACCAATAGATGTTACACCTGAAACTAACATAAAATAATACTGAATGTCAATTGTAATTAAAAAACAATTATTAATATATCAATAACCGAATGTCAGAGACTTCCAAGCTTTTAGAGGTATTTTTTCACCCTAAGAAAGACTGCATTGCATAAAAAAAGAAACAGAAATATATAATGAATATATTTTGCAGGGGAATGTGAATTTCTTGAGTGCAGGTGCCCAGTAATGGTAACAACACATTCAGACTTGTTTTTCAGCCATGTCCTTCTGGCTCACCTGTGGGATCACACCAAAGGCTCTCCTCCACTGCTGCACGGTCACTGACTCCCACGACACCCCATCTATTTGGATCTCCCCCTTGGCGTTCAGCAGCCTCAGAAGAGCCGATAACAGAGTGCTCTTCCCTGATCCAGTTCTTCCCAAGAGACCCACCTAGAATGTAAGAATAATGGAATTACACCTGTGACATACAGATGCCCCACCACAAACTCAATCTGGCATTACGCTTCAAAAAAAAAAAAAAGAAAAACACTGGAACTATTTTTTTTATTATTATCACCAGGGAAGATTTTCAGTTATTCATTCAAACCTTTTTGTGCACTCCCAATTCTGACCAATATTGATCTGGGGCAGAGCATCCCTGAAACAGAATATAGAAATGGCCATAAGGAATTGGACCCGTGATGCTGGCTGGCTTCACTTATCACTGGCTGTTATTAGTGGCCAAAAGGCTGAAAATGCCCATTTGCATCAAGGAAAACCTAAGATACAGTGTCTCAATGCACATCATTTCTAAGGCTGAGCTCAAGCCAGAAGCAGAGACTGTAACTTGATCTAGTTCCAAATATGAATACAAGCTTAAAGATTAATGAATCTGCAAACAGTCCTCATACTTAAATACTGTCCTTAATAAATTAAGCAAGTGTCAAGTTCAGCCTTGACAATAAATCAGATGAAGTTCAGTGAGCTATACACTCCCAGAGAAAGCAGGGTGTGCCTTGCTGCCTCACGGATAAGCACTTGGACAGTTGTCAAATCATATTCTTATACCCACTCTGATTGGCAAGAAGAGAATTTGGGGGAGCCAAAAGGATATTAATGAAAAGGAAAAACTATTCTTGTTATCTAAAGACCATAATAGCGTAGTATGGAAGTGAGAACACCAGGCATTGCAAGGAGAGAGCAGGTGCTACTGGAAGAGCGCGACTCTGTGTGCTCATGTCAGTTCAGATCCAGCACTTGGAGGAAGGTGTTCTGAGTTGGACCAAACATTCCTGCAGCCATTAACTGAATACTCAATAAACCATCTGACATTTAGTGGCACTGAACAAATGTTCATTTCCTTCCCCTTACATTATTCTTATTTCTTTTTTATCACTTAGCTTTTTATAGAGTAAAGCTGAGCAAATGGTCTTTTAGAGCAGTGCTGTTCACACCATCTGTGCTAAAGGACAGATATTTTATTTTTATTTTTATTTTTTTAGTTTCCAATCCATTGCAAATCAGTATTTTAAAAAATAGATAATAAAAATACTTACTTTAAATTTCTATCCTTATGTCATCACAGACCAGTAACAGTTTGTAAACCAGAATCAATTCATGGACCACAATAAATGAGAGCATTTATTGTAATAATAATACTAATAACTTATTGAACTTATTAATAACTTACTAGGAACCTGGTAATAAACTAGGCCTTTGGGATAAACTGGTGAATAATAATGACACAATTGTCTTTCTTTCATAAGAGCTCTACAATGAGATTTTCACAAATCTTTGTTCTCTGAGACAACTGAGTAACATCAGATAAACAAAATGTTATACATAACACCCTTTTGAAGTTCTTCATTCTGCTAATCACAATTGGTAATTATTTGATTTATTCTTTTCCTGATTATTGCTGTTAACCCCAATAATATAAATTCTTCAAGGGCAGGATAGTTTGCCTTATTTTCCATTGAATTCCTAGCACCTGGTGTAATGGTTGGCTCACATAAAATGCTCAATAAATACTTGTTTGGAGTGACTAAGGGACAGTCAGATGGAAGGATGAATGGATGGGTGTGTGTATGTATGTATGTATGTGTCGGTGGGTGGGTGGGTGAATGGATTGATGGATAGAAGGGATGGGGAGGGGGAGAGGGACTGAGGGAGAGGTCGATGAGTGGCTAAACTTATTTAGTTGATCTAACAAACAAATGGATTTAGTTAATTTGGTCAATTACCAGATCAACTCTTAATTTAAAAATCACCTGAAATTTCACATGCACACTTCCATTTCTGAATCAGCCCATGACATACAAACACATTCACCATATGTCATGATTTTTCAAATACAATGGTAAAGCTTTGTATAAGCAATCTGAATATGCCCCGTGTATGAGATATGGGGGAAGGGAAGGAAATTCAGTCGGAGGAAGAGATTTTCTCTAAAGTCATATCAATAATTTTTTATAAAAGTCCTTTGAGGTCCAGACCACTATATCATTAGTCAAGGTTTTAATGACCAGGGTAAACGACCACATTCCCCTTCCTTAAGGAGCAAATACTGCCGTTTTCAGAGAACTCAGTTTTTATGTTGGGATAAGACAGGATTGACAGGCAATTTGTAAACCTTTTGTTTAGCTTTAAAGTTTTTAGCTATTGCTCTGGTTTCCTTTTATTGTTGAACTGCTGGTATTACACATTATGTTTGACATGTTTTTCAATAGCAAGGAATCTTATTGGGTCACAGCTAACAAAGTCTTCCTGTTGTTTAGATAATTGGCACTTAATAATTCTTTTCTGGGCTTTGTTTTTCCAGGCTTCTCAGTGATCTGTTGAATTAGCCAGAGTATTTCCTGCAAATAAGCTTTTAAGATCTATTCTTATTCCAAGTCAGTGTTTTCTAGTAACTTCAATGTTCCTCCTCTCTGAGAATTTTGGATCAAGATAAATCAAAATATTATGTGGAGAGTTAAACAGTGTTAGATAAGGTACTAGTTGTAATTGCTTTCATTGTACCATGAATAGAACAGTCTCAGTACATTCTTTTTAGAGTACCTGATTCACCATGTTAACACTGCAACAAATTGGGACCTGCTGTAATTATTTTTCATCTCCTGTGGTCTAGGAATTTAGGTACTAAATCAAATGAAACTTAGATCCACAAAGTGATAACAACTGTACCTTTTATATGTTGACATACCTCTGTTTATTATTAATGCAACATAATTCTTTGTATAATATTCTTGAGGATATGCTCCTCATAGCTCCAGTATTATAAGTTACTGAATGATTCAGCTTCTTTGCATCAGTTTTTATCAAGAGAGAATGCCATGCATTTATCAGGTCAAATAGGCACTTAGGTGCTTGTGCTGCTATGATCTGAACCCTTAACATTGTTTGAATTATTCTGGTATCTCTGTATTTTGAAGAGACTACAAATGGAGAAGGTAGGTAAGCTCACCTAAAAGAATAGATCTTGAAGGACTATGAAATATTTACTTAATCAGAGGGCTGTCTGGCACTGTGATGTATACAATATACCATCTGAGTCATTGTGATAAGTCTAGGTTTATCATGAAAGACCTGGCTCCAAATAAAAACGTAAGCCTGCATTTTGAGTGGAAAAAGAAAAGGAAAAGATATTCTCGTTGGGAGAAGGTGATATGGGTATTAAAATTTAGAAAAAAAATTAAAATAAACTTTGAGATTGAAAAGTAAAAGTTGTAAAATAGTTGCTACATTTCTCATGCATTGAAAATAAAATGTAAAATGCAGGTTCTATGAACTAAAGTCCTAAGAAACTAATAGGACATCTTTTCCCTAATGTAATTGCTATGAACAGAGTGTTTTAATATGAATTGAATAACTTTTCTGCATGAAATATTATTTTCATCTTTTCACCATGCTATGGGCTGAATATTTGTGTCTCCCCCAAATTCATATGCTGAAATCGTAACCCCCAATGTAATGGTAATAGGAGGTCAGGCCCTTGGGAGGTGTGTAGGTCACCAGAGTAGAGCCTTATAAATGGGACTGGTGCCCCTTATCTAGAGGCCCCGGAGAAATCCTTCACCCCTTCCACCATGTGAGATTACAGTGAGAAGACAGATGTCTATGAGGAAGTAGGCTCTCATCAGATACCAAACCTGCCAGCACCATGATCTTAAGACGCCCAGCCTCCATAATTGAGAAATAAATTTCTGTTGTTTAGAAAGCCAGCCTATGATATCTTGTTATAGCAGCTGAATGGACTCAGACATACCATATAACCAAGAACATTGAAATCCATTAAAAATTTAATTTTTTTTCAAATTTTTTTTCAAGAAGATTAATTAGACTACAGCTGAATTTTCAGGATATCCAGATAATCAAAACAGTACACTAAATTTAAGTCTGCTTCTTCCCTCAGCAAGCAAGAAGCATGTTTGAGGCATCTTATTATAGTTTGCAAGATGCTATTGTTGGCTTTAAGGGCAAAGCAGTAGAAATGACATTCTTAAGAGAGTTGCTTAGAATAACATTTTAAGAATCAATTCCTTCAGCTTTTCCTCTAAATCTCTGAGACTATTTCCATTGCTAGTTGGGAGGGGGTGGGGATGAGGGAGAAGAGGAAGGGATTAGACAGCATAAATAGGTAACTACAATATTGTCACAGGGACATGAAAGACAGTTCGGGGAATATAATTAATAATGTTGCAAATATTTTGTAGGGTGTCAGATGGTCACATGTCTTGTTAGGGAGACCACTTCATGGATGGGGAAGAGGCTTGATCACTGCACTGTACACCTGAAGCTGGTGTTGTATAATATTGTATGTCAACTATAATTGAATATATATATATATATAGTCATGGGATGTGGAGTATAGTGTGGGAGTGGAGTCAAGGGAATTGTAATAGATATGTATGATATGGGGGGAGGAGGGAGTGGGGAGGTGGATTGGGGGAGGGGGTTGTCACTTTGAGGAGTAAAAAGTATAAGTATTGCACTGTGTTGTACAGCTGAAACTAATTTTAAAAAACGTTCATTTCACAATAAAAAAAAGAATCAATTCCTACTCTAGTCAATCATATGACCTAGAAGTTGTTATAAGCCATTCATTGATTCACTCATTTAACAGATAGTAAGCTTGGCAATGTGCCAAACAAAAGGATTAAAAAGAGAAAAACAGGACTTTCTGGTCCAGCAGGTAAGGAACTTGGATGTCATCCCTCATACTAACAACAAGTAAAAAGCTGAGGAAACTGAAAATTGAAAACGCTTCTTAAATCTGTCAGAGAGTCTGTCATCTGAAGTCACATGACAAACTGCTACCCCCAAAAGTGGAGAGACAGACAGGTGGATACAGCGAATCACAACTTACTAGAGCAGAAACCCACAATTGAAGACCTCCACAGGAACCAGAACCCAGGTAGGAAATCCTAAACTTTAACTGACAAATTACT